GACTTTCTCAAAACCCGCATCTTCTCAAGGTTTGGAGTCCCACGCATTTTGATAAGCGATAGGGGCACTCACATCTACAACAAAACTGTGAGTGCCTTGTTAAAAAAATATGGCGTCACCCACAAGCTCTCCACCGCCTACCACCCACAAACAAACGGCCAAGCCGAGGTCTCGAACAGGGAGTTGAAGTCTATACTCCAAAAGACGGTGAACCCTAACCGTAAAGATTGGAGTCTTCGCATGGATGATGCCTTGTGGGCATATAGAACCGCTTTCAAAACACCAATTGGAATGTCTCCCTATAGACTTGTGTTCGGGAAGGCCTTCCACCTCCCGATCGAACTCGAACATAAGTCTTATTGGGCGGTAAAAACATTCAATCTTGATATGGAGCAAGCGGGGATGAAAAGAAAGCTACAACTCCAAGAGCTAGAGGAGCTTCGACTTGAGTCCTATGAGAATGCCGCCATCTACAAGGAAAAGACGAAGGTATGGCATGATAAAATGATAATAAGGAAGGACTTCCAAGTTGGAGATAAAGTCCTTCTATTCCGATCACGCCTCCGTCTTTTCCCCCGGTAAACTGAGATCACGATGGGAAGGACCATTCGAGGTGGTCAAAGTCTACTCACACGGAGCGGTTGAGATCAAAAGCCTTGACACCGATAAAATCTTCAAGGTTAACGGACATCAACTCAAACCATTCCTTGAGGGCTTCCAAAAAGAGAGCGTTGAATGCATGGATCTCTTCGATCCAATCTATGAAGGATGAACATGACTATGGCGTCGTGCCACGACGTTAACTAAGGCGCTTCTTGGGAGGCAACCCAAGTCAAGGTACGCATTTTTTCTTTTCTTTTCAAATTCTTGCTTTTGAATGTCAACTTTGAGAGAATGGGGGGAAATTCTCAAGAAAGATATGAGGGAAAACCATGTTTTGAAAGCCTGGGAAAACCTCCGATCGGTCTTCATCACTTAACCGATCGGATCCGCGCTAAAAAGAGGTTAAAACTGGACAAAAACACGTCCTAGGGTAGGGTACCCGATCGGGCACAATTCCCAGACCCGATCGGGTACGTATGAAATGACAGGGTCTTGAGGAAACCCGATCGAGTGAGGAGAAAAAATTTCAAGAGGGTACCCGATCGGGTATCCCTAAGACCCGATCGGGTATAATTCCAAAAATTTCAAAATTTTACTTCGAATTAAATTACCCGATCGAGTACCCCCAAACTCGATCGGGTGAGAACCCCTGGAGCGAAATTTTAAAAAACGACGTCATACCCGGTCGGGTATTGGAGTCACCCGATCGGGTGAATTAATCTGCAAAGCCAGAAAAACTTTCGAATTAAATTACCCGGTCGGGTATTCGAGTCACCCGATCGGGTACTTCAATCTGGAAAGCAAGAAAACCTTCGAATTAAATTACCCGATCGGGTATATCGGGCCACCCGATCGGGTACTCGAGCTTTTAACTTCAAACAACCCCTATTCTCGGCCATTTCATCTCCCCCAACCTCCAAAAATTCGAACCACTCTCCCCAAAACCACCATTTTCGAACCTTCAACCTTCCATAACTCACCCAACACTCAACCAAATCCTCTCATACCACCACCAAAACACTCCTCTCACCATCCTCTCCAACATCATACCCAAAAATCACCACATCTCCCTCTCTTCCCAAAAATCCGAAACCCTACCCCAAAAATCCCCAAATCCGAATTCAAGCTTTAAATTTGGGCAAAATGGCACCCAAGAGCAACCAACCGGAGAGCTCTAATGCTAGAGGACCAATTCCGGGGTATGAGACCATCCGCTTTGGGCCGGGAGATCACCGCAAACGATTTTTGGCCATCATCAAAAGGCAAGTAGTTCCTTCTAGATTCCTATGTCATAATGCTCTTACACAACTAGGCTTGTTGGATGGAATGAGGGAATTATTTGATAGGTTGGAGATGAATTTGATCTTTGATATGAGGTATAATTGTGTTGACAAAGTGATTTATGAGGTAATGAGTTCGGCCAAAGTTGTTCTACATGATGACCCGGCGGAGTTCCTCTACGACAAACTCACGTTTCGTTGGTTAAACAACGAATACTCAATAACGAGACGTGAGTTTGCGGAACACTTCGGCATCCCCGCACCCCATGAAAGGGGGATACCGGAGAGCACACTTGACGGGCACACTTTATGGGCCAAAATGACCGGAGAAAGGAAGGTGAACGCGTCTAAATTGTCCATTAGTCACGTTCAACATCCTCTTCTCCGGATGTTCCTAAAGTTCTTGTGCAATTCTTTGCTTGGTCGCCCCAACAATCACCATACTCGGATGGGGGACGTGGCCGTACTCACTCTAGCCCTTTTTCATAGACCCACGGAATATAATCTTTGCAATTTAATGTGGGATCACTTGGAGGAAGCATGTAAGAAGACCGAGAACATTGTGGTTGGGGGGGTTGTGATGCACTTAGTGAGCAAATTCGGCTATACGGACAATGCTCCAATTCACCCCGATTGCTTAATGCACATTGGTTGGTTATCCAATGCGGGTTTGATCTCTTTGGGCAACAAAGACCACAATGGAAACCAACGCTATAGGTGGCACATGAAGTACCCCGAACCCACCAAATATTTCCCCCTCCCTTGTGATGAATTACCTAAGCTTAGGTATAGAATGGCCACCTTTGAGATCCCCCATTACCTCCTTCCAAACAACATTCCACCCCACCTCCAAGATCAAGCCAACCCACCCGAACACCAACCCGAGAATCATCCCGATCAAGCCGACAATCAAGGACATGAAGATGTCAACAATGCTCTTCCCGACCCTCCTCAAAACCCGCCACCACAAGACTTTTTCCAACAACTCTTGGCGGGTCAACAATCCCTCCTTGCCGGTTTCCAAACCATGAGCCTCGATTACACAAAGATGGGTAGGCAATTTACCCAACTTCAAGAAGAGCTAGGCCAATACCGGGCAGAGCAACAAGCAAGGGACCGCCAATTTGATGCTTTCCGGACCGAACAACAATCGGCATTCCAAAGGATGGAGGAGCAAAGGGCGGCCGACATGCAACGGTATGAAGAGGACTACCGGAGGATGTATGGGCCTACCTACTCATACATGTCCAACATTGGCGGATTTGCATCTATGTCCTCACCACCACCGACACCTTCTTGGTATAACCCCTCCGATTGGGGTAATTTTGGCGGCTCTACTTCCGGTGGTGGTGGCTATGATGGCGGGGACACTACCATGGGAGAGGGAGGCGGTGATGACATGCACGGCGGCGGCTTTGGAGGAGGCTATTACGGTGGAGAAGGCGGGCACTAGGGATAGTGCCGTGATTCAAGTGTGGGGGAGGGATCCATTTCTTGGTATGTACACTCCCTTTGTTTTTATTTTACCTTGTACTAAGCATTATTTTCTTGTATATTCATAATAATAAAAAAAAGAGAAATGAAATGCTAGTTAGGTTGAAAACCCAAAAGGGCAATCTAAGCAACAAGGGCTTACAAAAATGATGAGTGAGGGGTGAGGAAAAGAAAAGAGATGCTAGGATGAAAACCCAAAAAGACTCCTAGGCAAAATGAGAGATATGAGAGAAAAATTTGTTTTAGCAGGACACTATCTCTTGGGGAGGAAGGAGAAGAAAAAAGAAGAAAAGAAAAAGAAGTAAGGAGCATAGAAGACCATTAAACCCAAGGAAAAATTTGTTTTGTAACTTCATTTACAATACTTGGTGGTTTTAGTTCCTTATTTCTTCTTATCTATGAACTCATGGTCTTTTGATGGACATTGTGTAAACATTTGGTTTTACTCGAGGTCGAGTAAAGAAACTAAGTGTGGGGGAGTTGACATTCATGTAATTTCCATATTTAAATTTGTGTTTTTAATTAGTTTCGAGTGATTGTTACTTAGGAAATTACACACTTTTGGTGTAAATAGTTTAGTATGTAAAATATTTGTAATATGTTTAGATTAGGTTTATTCTGAGCTCAAACAGATCCAAGTACACTTTGGAGACCATTGGTGAACATCACAAGTGCAAGGAAGGTGCAAGAATGCAAGAAAAAATTGAAGATCTCGTTTTTGGTCTGTACCCGGTCGGGTATGACCTATACCCGGTCGGGTACCCTTCTGAAAAATCGAATCAAATCAAATCCGGGAACAAGACATCATGCGGGAGGATTTTTAACACGTTCGGGTGTCCATACCCGATCGGGTGACCGACAGACCCGATCGGGTACGACCCCTTTTTCAGCTTCGAAGAAGCCACTTTTATACCCGATCGAGTGAGCTGAAAGCCCGATCGGGTACACAACCCTGCAGGCCTAAAAAGCCTATAAATACACCCCATTTCCTCCACAATAAACCACCAATTCCCATATACTTCTAAGCTCAGTCTAGACAAGTTATTTCTTTATATTTTCTATCATGTTTAGTCTCTAAATGAGGAGCTAAACTCTTCCATCTTGATTTTGCTACTTTGAAGCTTAATGAATTGTAAGTTGTGAGTTATTTTCTTTAATCTTCTTTCTTGAATATTAATTAATTCCTATTCCTATTACATATTAATATTTTGAGCATTACTTAAAGGATCAACTAGTTTTGTTTCATATATTAATTAATACTAGAATCGGTCGATTAATACGCTTGTTATTAACTCGGTCCTTTCACGGTAGTAAACTTCGGTTGTTAATGCGTGCGTCTCATGGTTAATAACCTAAGGGGAATTAATTATATTGATTAAACCAACAAACCGCTTGTGTTGAGGTTATCAATCTCAATCGTTTTCATCTTGATTTTATTGCTACTAGCAAGTGAATATACGGCGCGTGTTCTATATTAACTCGGTAGTAAGTTTTATTAATGAACGCGTCTCGTTATTAATAACTACCCTCGATGAATTGGATATACTCCTCGATTGAGTATTCGAGAGGAAGATAGTTAAAGATATAACCGGGATCGACGAACATTTCATTAAGTGGATAAAAGCAAAGACAAGTCTTCTTCTCATTAATTAAACTACATAACTCGTTCATCTTCGTGTTTAAATATAATTTAAAGTTCATCAATCAAATATAAACCCCCCTTATTGTTACTTATCTATTTCTATAAGAAGAAAAGTATTCCTTTCCCTGTGGATACGAACCTTACTACACTATACTACGTATTAGTGTCGTATTGTATTATTATTTTGAGTGCATCTCACGACAAGGTGCACGTCAGGCGCTTCAGTACGCCACCATCACTCGACCCGAGATATCCTATGCGGTTAACCGAGTGTGCCAATTCATGCAAAAACCAACAGAAACACATTGGTCAGCTGTTAAGTGGATCTTACGTTACCTAAAGGGTACAATATCTGATTGTCTTGTGTTTAGCAAAATGCATGATTCTCGACTTGTCACCTTCACTGACGCAGGGTGGGCATCCGACCCAGATGACTGTCGATCGCAGCACGGTTTCTCAGTTTACTATGGAGGAAATCTTATCAGTTGGTCATCACGCAAGCAACATGTTGTCTCTCGTTCCAGTACCGAGGCCGAATATCGGGCTATTGCATTTGCAACTGCCGAGCTTATATGGATACAACAGTTGTTACAAGAGATGGGTACACCATTCACTGCACCACCAATTGTTCTTTGTGATAACTTGAGTGCCACTTTCCTCACTGCTAACCCTGTCTTTCACCAAAGGTCAAAGCACATCAAGATTGACTACCATTTTATTCGGGAACAAGTTCAGTCCGGTGAGCTCGTGGTTCGGCATGTTCGATCCAATGATCAAGTTGCAGATATCTTTACAAAGGCTGTAGGAACTGCTCTATTTCAAGCTTTGCGCCGTCGTCTACTGGTTCGACCACCTCGCTAAGCTTGCAGGGGCATGTTAAAGACAAGATATTGTAGCAATCTTTATATATATATATATATATATATATATATATAGAGAGAGAGAGAGAGAGAGAAGTGATCAGGTCCAGCCGGAGGGACGGGAGCCGCCGTCCGAACTCCGCCGTTTGGGGCGGTTCCCGGTGGAATTTTTTGATGAAATTTTTTGAGCATGTTATTAATCAAGTCTAGTTTGTCCATACCAAATTTCAGCTCAAAATTCGACCGGGAAGGCATTCAAATCATTTTTTGAAGTTGACTGCGCCAAAATATACATATAAAAATGCAGTCAACTTCAAAAAATGATTTGAATGCCTTCCCGGTTGAATTTTGAGCTGAAATTTGGTATGGACAAACTAGACTTGATGAAGAACATGCTCAAAAAATTTCATCAAAAAATTCCACCGGGAACCGCCCCAAACGGCGGAGTTCGGACGGAGGCTGGACCGGGGAGGGCTGGACCTGATCTTTCTTGTATATATATATATATATATATATAGAGGGCTCTTCTCATCAGGCCGGCCTGACGGGCTGCCCCGTCCGGCCGAGCCCGTTTGGGCACCTTCCCGGTGGAAGTTTTTGATGAAATTTTTTGAGCATGTTTCTCATCAAGTCTAGTTTGTCCATACCAAATTTCAGCTCAAAATTCGATTGGGAAAGTCGTCAAATGATTTTTTCAAGTTAACTGGTCCGGAATATGTATTTTCCGGACCAGTTAACTTGCAAAAATCATTTGACTACCTTCCCGATCGAATTTTGAGCTGAAATTTGGTGTGGACAAACTAGACTTGATGAGGAACATGCTCAAAAAATTTCATCAAAAAATTCCACCGGGAAGGTGCCCAAACAGGCTCGGCCGGACGGGGCAGCCCGTCAGGCCGGCCTGACATGAAGTTTTCTCTATATATATATATATATATAGAGTACTCTTCTCATCAGTCCGGCCTGACAGGCTGCCCCGTCCGGCCGAGCCCGTTTGGGCACCTTCCCGGTGGAATTTTTTGATGAAATTTTTTGAGCATGTTCCTCATCAAGTCTAGTTTGTCCATACCAAATTTCAGCTCAAAATTCGATCGGGAAGGTCGTCAAATGATTTTTGCAAGTTAACTGGTCCGGAAAATGTATTTTCCGGACCAGTTAACTTGCAAAAATCATTTGACGACCTTCCCGATCGAATTTTGAGCTGAAATTTGGTATGGACAAACTAGACTTGATGAGGAACATGCTCAAAAAATTTCATCAAAAAATTCCACCGGGAAGGTGCCCAAACGGGCTCGGCCGGACGGGGCAGCCCGTCAGGCCGGCCTGATGAGATGATTTCTCTCTCTCTCTCTCTCTCTCTCTCTCTCTCTCTCTCTCTCTCTCTCTATATATATATATATATATATATATATATATATATATATATATACAGAAATCATCATGTCAGGCCGGCCTGACGGGCTGCCCCGTCCGGCCGAGCCCGTTTGGGCACCTTCCCGGTGGAATTTGTTGATAAAATATTTTGAGCATGTTCCTCATCAAGTCTAGTTTGTCCATACCAAATTTCAGCTCAAAATTCGATCGGGAAGGTCGTCAAATGATTTTTGCAAGTTAACTGGTCCGGAAAATACATATTCCGGACCAGTTAACTTGCAAAAATCATTTGACGACCTTCCCGATCGAATTTTGAGCTGAAATTTGGTATGGACAAACTAGACTTCATGAGGAACATGCTCAAAAAACTTCATCAAAAAATTACACCGGGAAGGTGCCCAAACGGGTTCGGCCGGACGGGGCAGCCCGCCAGGCCGGCCTGATGAGAAGAGCTCTCTCTCTCTCTCTCTCTCTATATATATATATATTTATATATATATATATATATATATATATATATATATATATATATATATATATTTGTGATTAGAATTGATTCTGTAAATCAATTAGGTTCTTCATATCTTTACTTCTTGTCCCTGATTTGTATTCTATATATTTGACAACTTAATGAGATAGAAAAAATCATCCTTTTCATATCAAATAATAAGTTTCACACATATTAACAGTTTATATACTTTTGTTCATTTTAAAACAGTTGGTCTAGTGCTTCATTCAACTATTAATGTTTATCGAAGTTCCTAACAAGGGGTGTAACTAGGAATGAATTGGGATGTTTTCCAACACTAGGACACTAATTAGGAGAAGATTGGTGAGTGGTTTTGCTGCTAGGGTTAATTTTAGCAATTACCATGGTGATTATTACTATTGCTCCACACTGATACACCCTCCTTATACTTTCTCTTTTTTTCTTTACCATGATGAACACATACATTTATTTAGAACCTAATGGGGTAGATCATGCAAATATTTTGGCCCTAAATATATACGGAGTACATAGGAAACTACTCTCTCTACTTGCTGCATCATGCTAAGCTAAGCTAGGTGATCATCTCCACATACATTTCAGATTTGCATCCAAAATGAAAAGTCAAATACATGCTTGGGATTACATAAACTGCATCCATCAATAATATAATTAATAGTCCGTAGTAGTTTCACCTCTCGCCATCCACTTCAGAATCAAAGATTTATTCACATCCAAGTACTGTTGAATGTGGTCAGTGGTGAGATTGTTGGGACAGTAGGCTGCCATCATCTGCAAGTATCCTTTAAATAATCTCCTTCAACCTCCACTATGTCCACAATTCTCCTTAGATCCTTTATAGTTTCTCAATATGCGTGATTATAGTATGCATATGAAATATGAAAACTTGGTTTCCAAACTTGGATGATATAAAGTGAGTCTCTTTTGGAAATAAAGTGTATTGCATATATGTCTATCGTAAGCTAGCTGTCTGGAATGATAAACCTGCCAAAATCCTTCAGGAAAAAAACTGAGCTAGCTGTAAATTGTTTGGGGGAAAACCTGTAAGGCTTAATACAGATTGTTTGAGGAAATCCTTTGGCGCTAAAAAAAAAATTGTTCGGGGAATTTTTTTTACTAGGAACACATTTACTTAAAATTGTAAAGTTTAATACAGATTGTTATTTCTTGCCATTGTAATATGTTTAATAAAATGTATATTTGTTTTATTTTGTAGATTATAAAGTGTAATGTTGAAAAGGAAGTGTGTTTTATGTGATAATGGTAGCATTGCAACAGAAAATGATTGCGCCAACACAAGAACCCATCAAAAGGTCTTTCAATGAGGTTCGCGGCAGGGCCGGCCCAGGGCGTGTGCCACCAGTGCGACCGCACAGGGCCCATGAATTTTGAGGGCCCAAATTTTCACTAGTCCTTCTATTATTATCCATAAGTAAAGCCCAATAGGTAAGATTCGTATGCTTCATTGAAAAATTTAAACACCAGGAGGTTTCGAACCTTGGCATATTGCATAGGCGTGAGGACGCTCAACCAAACCAACTACTTGGTTGATGCTAACTTTTTTCGAATTTTCTTTTTTATACTACAAATTATACAATTATTGATATAACTCACAAGATCTTAAGCCTTATAGGCTTATACCATCAACTACAATTATTGATATATTACATATTAATATGTAATCATAATAATAACTATTTTTTTATTTCATGCCATTATTAAATTAAAAAACTATTAGATATGTATGAAATATTCATTTCGTTTATCAATTATATTTATATTTTTTTATATAAATATTTGTTTGACAACTTATTCATTTAATTCCAAACAATCAAACACATCTTAAATTTATGAATTCTATTTAAGATAATGATACATTAATTTTCAATTTAATCTTATAACATTATTAATCTTCACTTATATTACCACGTATATTTTTACCTATTTTTAGGAAAAGGCCCACATTTTATTTTTTGCACAGGGTCCGTATTCTCTCAGGACTGGCCCTGGTTCGCGGTGTATATTTTCAACGTATGATTGCATTACGGGATGAAATACCAGAAAATTTGTCACGTAATATGAGGCAATGTCGTTGATAGTGTATTGTCGTTGATAATGTATGACGATTGCATGTGTTCTATTATGTATTTTCTTTGTTTAATGTTTTCCAGACATGTAATGAACTTAAATTAATTTATGTGTATTTTATGTTTCATTTTATTTTAATTTAAATGCATGTCCATTTGTTAATATACTTTAGAAGAAGAATATTTATTAAATTAATTTACTCATATTAGTCACAAAAAATAATACTAATATCGCTCATTCGAAAATACACATTTTTGAAAAGTAGTTGTATAAAAGAAATTCGACGTAAGAGTAGGAATGAAATTTCCAAAGCAATCAATTACTCGGTACTTCGTATTTAAGTAGTCTTATAATTATCTAAATTAATCAAGCAAAATTAGTTTGTTAGTAAAATCCACACTCATATATTTAACACAAATAAGCTAATACCCTTTATAGTAATTTTACACTCAATTAGCCATTTCAGCCAACATATTACCAAACACTTCCACTTCAGCAAATTAAGGCTATGTTTGGCAGAACCAGTTGAAACTGGAGGCTAATGTCTGAAATACTCCCTCCGTCCCAGAAAATTCTTCCTAGTTTGACTAGGATCGGAGTTTAAGAAAGTGGGAATAAAGTGGAAATGTGTGGTTGTAGTTGTGTACGAAAAAGGTGAAATGAATGTGAACCACACAAATAATAAAAAATGTGAAGTTGGAAGAATTTTCTGGGACGTCCCAAAAAGGAAAGTTAGAAGAATTTTCTGGGATGGAGGGAGTATGAGCTATTGTCTGAATCAGAGACTATTGTCTGAAACTGAAATTTTAGGTGATGGATCTGAACGGCTAGCTGAATGAAGTAGACCTGTTTGGCAAAAATAACTGAAAATGGAACTGGACAATATAAAATTACACTAAAAGGCATTTGATATATTAAAATAAAATATTTATTATAATGCGATATCTTATACGTATTTTAATAACTATTAAGGTTGTAGAATTATACGGAGTATATATAATCAATTTTAAGAATTTGTAAACTAACTCAATTTATTTACATGTTTCGATCATGAGAGATCGAAAAAGTCTAAGCAAAAACTACACAATGAAAAGCATGATCGTTGGCTACAAGGATAATTTTTTTTTTTTTGAGAGTGGCTACAAGGATAATTTTAATTTGGGGTCATGAGGAT